ATATAATATTTGGTTAATTTTTCACTTTTATCTTCTTATTTAATTAATTAATATAAAATAATTTATTTAATTTGTACATAAAACGTTCGTACATATATATATATATATATATATATATATATATATATATATATATATGTATATACATGCGTGTAGATATTGTACGATGCCTATTTTTTTTTTTTGGTTAATACATAAAAAAATAATTAATGGGTAATTAAATATATATATATTTAAAAAAAAAAAAAAAAACTATTTTGTACCGAGGCCGTGATATTAAAGTGGTTAATTAAATAATAATAATAATGATAATAATAATAATGATAATAATAATAATAATAATAATAATAATAATAATAATAATGACAATCGACTCAGTGCACACGCGGTCGTCGTAATTAACATTTTCCCATTATTATTATTAATATTACTGCTGCTACTATTACTACAACTATTATTATTATTATTATTATAATTTTGATTGCTTTTAGAATTTGCTTTAAAAAAAAAAAAAAAAATAATAATAATGATAAAATTTTCACCGAGGAAAAGAAAAAAAAAAAAAAACGGCCAAACTATATAATAGCAAAAAATGCGAACATGAGGAACTTTCGAATAACCATTAGCAAATCCGACATTTTGCTTTAAAATCATCAGTGATAATGACATTACAACATGCCAAACCTATTATTATTATTACTATTATTAAAATTATTATTATTATTTAAAAAAAAAAAAAAAAAAAAGAAAAAAAAGGACATTATTAGTTTTATTACTGTCATCGTCATCATTATTATTATTACTGTTACTATTATTGTGAAGAGCAAAACTTTAATTACAGCAATAAAGCTTTTTTTTTTCTCTCTCTCTCTCTCTCTTTCAATGATAAACACAACAACACAAAAAATGCCTAGAAAATAAACCTAATTAAAAAAAAAAAAAAAAAAAAAAAAAAAGGAATGATGCTATTTATTTCGTTATAAATATATTTATCGTGTGTAAACACATACGAACCCGAATCCCTGATCTCGTTTTCTAATATTTAATAATAATAATAATAATAATAAATGATAATGACAATAATAATAATAATAATAAACCGTTAAATAAATAAATAATAATAAATATTATTAAATTTCCTTACTCTATGGGTAGGTGAAAAAAAAAAAAAAAAAAAAAAAAAAAAAAAAAACACTCTCACCTCACGCACGACAATCGTACAAACACGCACGCAAAAACTTTCAAACACGCACGCACGCACTCACGCACAAAAAATAAAAATATTAAAAAAATACTGATCTGTTTCCTAAGGTTTTTCTTTTTTCCTTTCCTTTCCTTTCCTTCCTTCTTTCTTTCTTTTCCGCGGATCAATTAATTTTTACATAACTACATATATATATATATATATATATATATATATATGTGTGTGTGTGTATGTGTGTATAAGAAGCAGTAATAATAATAATAATAATAAAGCGAGAGGGGAAAGAAAAAAAGAGAGAAAAGAAAAAAAAAAAAAAAAAAAAAGAGGAAAAAAAAAAAAAAATGAATATACGTTACACGAGAAAATGATCTCCCTGGAAAAGTAAAAAATCCCTCGACAATGTTTTCATACAAAATTGTTTTTCCTTTTCCTTTTTCTTCACGTACTCCATGTATGCCAACTTGTGGGCTTCGTCTTTGACTTTCAAATGACTCAGAAGGTTCGATATGTAATTGGAACTCTTGCAAACTCTCCAAACGTGGCAAACCTTGCAAAATGCCATACCCCTCTCCGTGTCCCTTACAAAAAAGTCCCATATAGCGTGTATTTTTGAACCTGAAACACAATCCCGACTCATCCGTTAATTCGTACCAAAAAAATAAAAAAAAAAAGAAAAAATTTTTCCGGATCCAATTTTCTGGGATTTTTGCTTTCTTTCTTTTTTCTTTCTTTCAAAAACATACAATGTATATATATTTTATCTTTCTCTTTCTTTCTTTCTCTCTTTCTCTCTCTCTCTTTTGTTTCAATTATAAATTTTATTGTGTGTGTGTGTGTGTGTGTGTTTTAGGTGTTTTTGTGTGTTGGTAGTGATTGATGGTGGCAATGGTATTGATGGTAGTGGTGGTGGTATTTGTGTATTTGTGTTCTTTTTTTATATATGAAGGAAATATTAATCATCATCATCATCATCATCATCATTATCATTATCATTTGGCCACGTAAACCGAACTCGTCTGTCTTTTAATAAATTAATTTAGTTTAGTTTAGTTTTAGTTTTTTTTTTTTTTTTTTTTTCAAATTGTATTTTTTTCCAAAATCATTTTTCTTTTCCTATTTCCGGAATTACTTTCAAAATGGTTCCGATTTCCGTTTCGAATACAACATTCTCTTCCTGTTGAATTCTACGTATGCGTAACAGTGCAACCTTTGCTTCGAACTCAAATGAGATATCAAATTCGTCGTGTATTTATGATTTTTGAATATTTTCCATTCTCTGCATATGAGACATTGAGCGACTCCCTTTTCAACGTCTCTCCTAAAATAATCCCATATCGGATTTCTATTCAACGAATCCACGTGTTTTATCGACCACTGACCTAAAAAATTTCAATTTCATAAATTAATTTTTTTTTTTTTTTGCAACAACAAAAGAAAAAAAAAAAAAATTTTTTTTCAAATTACATTTACATTTTCAACTATTCTTATATATTCTCTCCGTTAAAAATTTTTTCTTTCTTTTTCTCTTCTTTTTCCTCTTTCAATCAATCAATCAATCAATCAATCAATCACTCAATCATTCATTCATTCACACGCTCGTACAACATTTCTACTCTCATACATACATATATAATTTCATATTTTTTTTAAACATTTATTTAAAATTAAAACATTATTAATTAACGAATCAATAAATAAATAAATAAATAAATTTATTTACATTCAAAAAAAAAAAAATAATGAAATTATAAATAATAATAATAATAATAATAATAATAATAAACAATTATTATTATATTCATCATCATCATCATCGTCATCGAGTACTTAAACAAAATAAATTAATAACAACAACAACAACAAAAACAACAATCAAACATTTCAATTATTATTATTATTATTTCGCTACGATTTCAACTGATTTTCTTCAGAAAGGGGGGGAAAATACGTCAGCAAACAGACACATAATCTTTTTTTCCAAACCTTATCGTTCGTCACGTGATCAATCACAACCCCTCAACCTGTTATCGTGTATCAAACCTACAAAAAATAAATTCGGAAAGATGGGGGGAAACGTTATTTATTTATTATTATTATTATTTGTTTATAAAAACCATAGACGTAAAATATAAATAAAAAAGAGAGAGAGAAAAAAAAACAGCCTTCTTTATTTATTATTTATTATTCTTTTTCCATTGTTTTCTGACGTCACACAACTTTACGTCACAACCAACTCGAAATGATGTCAAAAACAACCGACAAATTCAATTTTTAAACAAAATCCCGAGTGTATTCATCTCAAAGACCGATACAACCAATCAACCGACAAACAAACAAACAAACAAACAAACGCGTTGACCGATTATACTCGTTCAATAAATTCAAATACGAAATTTAACAAACTGTAAACCATGTTTTATTGAAACATAAAAACATTATTAATTATAATCAACATCATCATCATCATCATCATCAACAACAAAACAACAACAAACAAACAAACAAACAAACAATTAAACAACTCCACTCAATGGGGCATAATATTAATAAATTAATTTCAAATAAATAAAATTTTTTTTTAAATTTAACAACAACAACAACAAAAACTTTGTACTTTTTTTTTCCATAATTGGAACAACTTAACGGTAATAAAAGAACCTATTATTATTATTATTATTATTATTTTTCGTTGAGCAAAACGGGATTAAAGCTTTCTTTTTCCCCCTCGCATCCTCCCCAAACTTTCTCTCCTTTCTTTTCACGCTCAGTTTCCCGATTCCGAATCCCGGATCCCCGGACTCAATCATCGTTTTTCGTTTCCTCTTCCATTTGTTGTTGATTTTTATCAAAAACGGTCGACGCCATGTTCGTGAGCAAATAATTCAAAGCTATGTCTTCCCTTATTTTACTATTCGTTTCGCTTTTTTTCATCATGTAAAAATTATACGACGTATCGTGACCGATTCCTCTCGTTCTCAAATGCGTCACCAAATTCGTGACGTACGCATTGTTACGATACGTTATCCTTTTCCCGCAAACTTTACACGTTGCCTTATCATCTTCGAGAGTGAAATATTCCCATATGGGATTCGATAAATCGTGGGGAGGCGATCGAAAATCGGAGGATTGGGATGATCTCGTTCTCGGATAATAATTCGTGGTCGTAGGGTGGTGATGGTAGTCAAAGAGTTTAAACGCATACGGCGAAGGTGACGAGGATGTCAACGATGACGTCACGTTCACATATTTATCTAATTTTAAATTTTGATTGGACATATTTTTGTATCTGGGTATTTTCGACACTGAGGATGATGATGATGATAATGATGAGGATGGGATCTTATTGGACTGGACATGAACATTTTCATCGGGTCCCAACGTGGAATCCTCTTTCTTAACAAATAATTTCAACATGGATTCCTCCTCCTCCTCCTCGCTATCCTTTATTTTATCCGAAGAATTTATCATCGATTCTAATTTCTTACTCTCTGTTGACAAAAAATAAATTACGTAATTATTTATTTGTGCGTGTGCGTGTGTGCGCGTTTCTATATAAAAAAAACTACAACTTTCAAAATTCTACACAACTTTTTTTTCCGTTTTTGTCTTTAACGTATGACAATTCTTTTACGACGTCACTCAAACGACAAAACAATAATAATAATAATAATAATACTAATACTAATAAACTTTTTCTGACGACAGCAATTTTTTTTTTTTTCTCTTAATTCACTAAAATAATAATAATAATAATAGTAATAGTAATTTAATAAATAATTTTTTTTTTTTATTGAAAACAATAATTTACAACAAAAATGTTTTTTTTTTCTTTCTTTCTTTTTGGTTGTTTGTTTGTTTGTTTGTTTTCAACGATAACCTTTAACAAAACAAGAACAAAATAACAAAAACAAAAAATTATTAACGGTAACTTTATCAATTAAATATAAAGAGCAACGACTTCAAACGAATTTTAACGAGAAAGAAAAAGAAAAAAGGGAAAATTGCACCACCAAATAAGGGGTCGTCATTAAATCCGCCGTAGAAAAATCATAAAACAGGAGTAACCCCTTAAAACGACGACGATGACGACGACAACAACAACAACAACAACAACAACAACAGAAGAACAAGAAGAACAACAACAACGACAACAAACAAAAACGAAAATTTCTCTCCTCCTCTTCGATATTCAAATTCTTTATTCTTTAATTCAGGTTCTTCTGGACCGAGATTCGGATTTTCTCAGGCTCGATTCTTTTATTTGGGGTCCTATGTAACGATAACGTTTCGAATACACCCAACGGTTTTTTTGCTCTTGAAATTCTTCAAACAAACTATTATGTTTCGATCTTAAATGTATCTCCGCATTCCCCGTCACGACTCCCTTGAGCAAAGTCCCACAGATTCTACACAGGCTTGCTTTTCGATTGTTCACTTTGTCGAAGTAATTCCATATCGGCGACATTTGCGGTCTGTACCCGGGCAATTTCCCTGAAACAAATCTTAACGTTTTATTCGATCAACAACAACAAACAACAACAACTACAAAAACAAAAAAAAAAATCCTTTCGTACAATTTTATACACGATGGTGATAAACGTTTAAAAAAAAAAAAAACTAAATTAATAATAATCTAATCGTAAACTAATAATATTAATAATAATAATAATAATAATAATAAATCGGATCTTAAAACCATTACAGTTATATATACATATATTTTTTTTTTTATTAATATTTTATAAATTAATTTTACATAGATTATTCTGCTCATCACACACACACACACGTATCATCATCATCATCATCATCATCATTTTACTTTCAGGTCTCCCATCCTCATACCTAATTCCTTCACCTCATTTAGAAAACAAAGAGAGAGAGGGCAAGAGAGAGAGAGAGAGAGAGAAACGCATCACCAAAACTTAATAATCAATTTTCAATTATTGAAAATTTCCGCCATTTTCCAACTGTTTTACCTAAGACGACAACCACAACCACAACAACAACAACAACAAACGACAAATCTCAAAAAACACTTTAAACTTTTTTCCCCTTACTTTAACCAAACAATAATAATAATAATAATAACAATCGAGAGTAATATCGCAAACAATACTTAATCAATATTTAAAACCAAACCTTTAATTTTTTTTCTGGGGGTAGGGGGAAGAGGGGGAATTTGGGGAGAAGTGCAAACTCAAACTTGAATTACTTCACTTTTTTAAAAAAAAAAAAAAAGAGAGAGAGAAAGAAAAAAAAAGAAAATTATTTTATTTGTCACAGAAAAATCCATCCAACTACTACTACAATAAAAAAAAAAACATTTTTTATTCATTATTATTATTATTATTATTATTATTAAAAAAAAAAATTTTCATTTATTCTTATTCTAACTCTATCAATTAAAAATATATACTTAATTTGTTTTTTACATTTGCGTGTTTTCATCAGTTTTTAGGGGGAAAGAGAGAGAAAGAGAGGGGGGAGATAGTGAGAAAAGCTCAAAGTGACGTAATATAAACACACACACCACGTGGAATTACTAAAAAAAAAAAAAAAACACAAAAAATCACGCCTAAGCAGGATTTGTGGAGGATCATGAGATAATTTAAAATAATAATAATAATAATAAAAGGGAAAAGAAAAATTAGTTGTTTTGGTTGTCTCCTTCTTCTCCTACTCCTTTACGATGGATCAACAATGATGGCGGACGTCGAATCGTTCATTTGAACGACTTGTATTATTTTCTTTTTGACGCGATTTTTCATGTAATTCTGATACACGTAAAAATCCTTCAACTTTTCCCATTCCTCCTTTTGCAATTTGTACAATTCGAATTCTTCGAAATGCGTCGCTTTCAAGTGATACACGATCCCGGATGTCGTTCCCGATGCTATGCGTATGCTTCCCCCGCACGATTTGCATATGGCAACTTTCCTTTCCGAATCTCTAACGAAATAATTCCATATGGGCGAGGGCGGAGGTCCTTTCGATTGGTGAGCTATGATCGTTGTCGGTTCAACAGCCAGAATCCTCGTAGGCTGACAGTAATTGATCTCCATTCCTAAATTTGAACGGGAGAAAATAAAAAAAAAATTTTTTTTTTCTCTTTTTTTTTTTTTTTCGTTTTCGTTTTCTTTTCTTTCTTTCTTTAATTCTTTATTTATTTATTTTTAATTAATTAAGCGGGCAAGTTTTTAATTAAAATTGAAAGAGAGAGAGAGAGAGAGAAAGAAAATAATAATAATAATAATAATTAGAGAGAAAGAGATCGAGATAGAAAAAAAAGAAAACCTTTTTTCTTTTGCAATCACCACCCTAATGTTTATATTATATGCAGTGTAAATGTTTCGATCCCTCGGACGTGATGAATGATTGAATGAATGAATGAATGAGTGTGTGTGAGAGAGAGAGAGAGAGAGAGAGAGAGAGAGAGAGAGAGATCTGGATAATGTTTACGAAAATAAAATAAAAAAAAAAAAAAAAAAAAAAAAAAAAAATATAGTCGGTAAAAATTAAATAAAATTTTTATGTACAAAACACATTCAATCAAATAAAATCAATACAACAACTTTTGTTAAATTTTTCTTATCCCGAAATTAATAATCGACGGTAGGAAGACAACACCTTCCTCCTCCTCCTCCTTCTTTTTCCACCACCACCACAACCACTACTACTACTACCGTCATCGTATTATTCGTATCCGACAGACAATCATTATTATTATTAACATCATATTTTTCTTCCTTTTCGCACTTTGTTTCCTTTGTTTCTTTGCTGTTGTTTTCCTGTTTTCTTTTCGTTTTTGTTTAAGCGTTTCGAGCATTTAAATAATTTATTAATTGTCCATTTTATAAATCCGATATATACATATATAATTTTTTTTTTTTTTTTAAGTCTTTTGTAATTTTTCTATACAAAAAAAACAATAATAATAATAATAATAATAATAATAAATAAATGTTCGTGGCCATTTGCCGAATATAAAATGAGAGCGACGATTCTTGATTATTTCCTTTGACGCTTTTTTCTTTTTCCGCATTCAAAATTCATCACATCATTATCATCATCATCATCATCATCATCATCATGCATCATCGTAATCGTGTCATTAAATTACTTAAATGATTTGGCGGGGGGGGGGGGGCGGATGAAAATCGTACGGGTTTATGTTATTACGTAATTAATCGAAAAAAGCAAAAATCCTTCTCAAAAATTAAATGACCGCGCACTTGCACACACATTCCACACTCGCACGATTCGATGAATGAATAATTTTCGGCCAAAATAATAAAAAAAAAATAATAAAAGGAATCGAATACACGCACGCGCACGCACGCACGCACAAACCTCGACTCACGGTAGAAAAAAAAAAAAGAAAAAAATTATATTAATCGGAAATACATAATATCGAAAGGATCAACTTTTAAAAAACAAAATTTTCCTATTAAATAAAATATCAAATAATAATAATAATAATAAATAATAATAATAATAATAATAATAATAATAATAATAATTTTAATGTAAAAAAAAAGAAAAAAAATCAGGAAAAAAAAACAAAAAAAAAAAAGAAAAAAAAACTACAAGAGTAACAAACAATGAATGAATGAAGAAGAAAACTATTTGCCAATTTACAAAAAAAAAAAAAAAGAAAAATTCATTTTCCAAAATTTTCCAAAAAAAAAAAAAAAAAAGCACAAATAATGATGATGATGATGATGATGTAATATACATAATAAATATTAAAAAAAATTTTTTTCTCGAAAAGAAAAGTAAACGCGTAAAAAATGGCGAGCGTGTGCGCGCGTGCCTGTTCCTAACTTTGCCCGGAAAAGGAAATTATCATTATTATTACTTAGGTACATCCTCGTCGAGGCCTTTTCGAAGTCGTTTTGAAAACGATATTGAAAAATTGACAAAGGTGACAAGAGCTTTTCCGCAAAACGACACGCATACAATTTCATCACGCCATCATACCTAGGTTTACTATTGAAATAGAGAGAGAGAGAGAAAGACTGTGGAAAGGTTTAAAACATAATTCAATCCTATTGCACTTGATTTGATCGCGACTCACTCTCGCTCATCGAAATCGGAAAAAATAATAACAATAAAGCGCTATCGACATAAATTTTTTTTTTTTTTTTTTCTCAGTTGGCTATAATAAATTCGACTTGTCCGACTTCTTCCGACGACCCCTCATCGGCTGTCGCTTCTTCCACTTGTCTCGTTCTCCCGCTTTGATCGACGGAACAAACTAAAACTCCGTGTTGCGGCGATAATTGTTCCCATATTTGCAACAATTCGGAATCCGATTGTTCTCCGGCTTCGACCAACGTGTCGCCCTCGTCCAATATTTGTATGACTTCCGCCGTTCCCTCCTCTTTCATCGATTCCTCCCCTTCTTCCGCCACTTCCGACCCGCTGCTTTTCAAATATTCCAAATATTCCGCGGGAACTTGCACGAATTTATACTGTCTCCCCTCCTTGAGAGAAAATTCCTCTTCCGCAATGTCAATGTTTTCCATTTCTTGCTCCGGCGAGTCCTCGAATTTCGACACGGCCACGCACGTTTTCCCCTTTTTCAAATCCTCGATTATTTGCTCTCCCATGACGTCGGGTATCGTACCCTTGTTGCTTATATTCAATATCTTTATGTTTCCCTGTCCCAATTGTTCTAAATCTTTCTCGGTGATGACGCAACTTTCCTCCTTTTTCGTTTTCGCCTTTAAAACAATCAATTTTTTAACTTCGTCCTTCGCGCTCATTTTCCTCTCTTCCCCTCTGTCCTTTTTCAATCTCGCTTTTCTCGGTGACGTGAGAGGAAGACCCAATATCCCTCCCCTTATGTGATAACCCACTCCCATTCTCCCCTGTATGTATTCGTTCCTGTAATTCTCGTACGCTTTCGGATGAAGGAATCTGAGGTGTCTCACCATAACCGACGTATTGTGAAACCTGAGAGATTTATGGCAGACGACGCAAACGGCTCGAACGTCTCCGGTTTTTGTCGTCGTCTTCTTAAAAAAGCTCCATATCGGAGTTTGGACCATGAATTTATTCGTTTTCTCTTCGACACCTGGTTCGAAAATAAAATTTTTTAACTTTTCTCAAAATTTTACTTTTTATTTATTTATTTATTTATTTTTTTTTTTTAAATAAAGTTCAAAAGTTGGAAAAATACTTTTACTTTTTTTTTATTTTTATTTTTTTTTTTTATTATTTGGAATCGAACCGTTTATTACAAACATGGAGAAATCCAAAATGAACAATAGTTAATTTATTAATGTATATACATACATACATGTATACATAGCCTTTATTTATAATTTTTTTTTCATTTTATTAATAATAAAAATTATAACACAAAAAAATACTACAGCATATATCATTACTACCCCACAAACCTTTAAGGTTTTTGGGGGGTTTTTTCTTTTCAATTTTTTTTTTTTAAAACGCCTGCGAATAAAATTATGAATAAAATCAAATGCCAGAAATGTGGCGGTTAAAAAACAAAAAAAAAATTAAAATGTGAAAAGCAAAAGCAAACGGGAGGAAATTTCGAATACATTATAAATATATATCACCGTATACTAATTCATAAACCATGCAAACACACACGTACTTTTCTTTACGTAATCGTTAGTTCCCCCCCCCAAAAAAAAAAAAAAACCCCAAGACGACATGCAAAACTGGGAAAAAATTATTTTTTTAAAATCATATTTGAGCTGTATGTACAAGTCATTAAATCCGCCAATATTTTTTTGCCAACAATCAACGATTATTAACCCCCCGACAGCCCCCCAAAAAAAAACACCATACCAATATACATCAACACCTAGAGTGTAATTTTTTTTTTTTTTTTTTCTTTTTTAACGACTTTTTAATCTCGACAAATTTTAACTCGCCAACTCCAATTAACGGTAAATAGAGTAAATCAAAACAATTAATTGACTGATTGAATGATTTTTTCCCCTCACCTTCCCTTCCAAAATGTCAGTAGGTGCCTGGTTAATCGAACCATCGACATTTTAATATAAGTACACACGAATGTGAAGAAATTCATCAAAATTCAAAAGATTTTCCCATTTTCAAAAAAGGACCCAACAAACGATTCAAATAACTTTAATACTCGCTTGGTACTACTCAATACACGACCTACAACACTTATAAAAAAAAAACATACCGTGTAAATAATAATAATAATAATAATAATAATTCTAAATTTAATTTCCCCCCCCCTCCCTCCATTTACTTCCCCATTGAAAATTAAACCCATAATAAATTTCAATTTAAAAAAAAATTCATTTTTCATAATCTCTTCGACGGTTGTTAAATCAAAAACAAATGATTAAACGATCAATAATAATAATAATAATAATAAATTAAATGACGAATGACTGACTGAATGAAAGACAGAATTAAAAACATTTTTTACGTATTCCCAAGCACGCATTTACATCTCAAATCTTTTCACATCGTTCTAAAAAAAAAAAAAAAAAAGAAGCAGAAGTCAGTCTGTCTTCTGATTACTGACTTCTATACACAATAACACAATAACAATAACTTGTGATGCAATCGAATAATAAATACGTCATCAAAATAAGTTCAACATAAGCAACAAGGATAACTGTTATAATATTGTTAAATGTTATTTAAAAAAAAATAATAATAATAATAATAATAATAATACTTTTTACCAATCATCTCGAATTACGCAACACAATTAATATTAAATATAATAGTATTATTTTACTAGCATGACCCAATTATTGGTTTTTTAAAAAATAACCGAATAAGTTTTTTTTTTTTTTTTTTTTTAATAAACTTTAAAACCTTAGGAAAACAAATAAATAAATAAATAATGAGCAAAAAGTTTTATTTTTAATAAATAAATTATTTCCGCCTGTCTGTACTATAACCTAAACATAGGAGGGGGAGGGAAACATGATTTGATTACGCGAGTCAATTTCTTTCCCCCACCCCCCCACATTAATTAATAATAATTTTAAACGCGTTTGAAGAAATTAATTTTGATTGAATTTCCCTCACCTCCCCTCCCCCCAGTAAAATTTTCCCTTTCGCAATTTTATTAAAAAAAAAAAAAAAAAAAAAAACCAACGATAAACGAGTAAACGACGTGATTCGCGATTACGACATTTTTTCCCCCATCCCTCATTTCAATTTTCACAAATAATTTAAACGATTTCTTAATTACTGCACATTTTCAATTAATTAATTAATTAATCAATTAATCACAGCAAAATAAGAAAACGCTGTTGACAGACACAAGTACACGCATACGCACACGCACACGCACACACACAAGCTAAAATAATTTTTTTTCCCCCTCTTTTGTCAAAAGAGAGACAAAGAGAAAAAATACCAAAATAAATAAAAAAAAAAAATCTCGCGTGGGATTCGTTCAAATTTCCATATAAAAACATTTACAATAATAATAATAATAATAATAATAATAATAATAATAATAATAAATAATAATAATATTAATAATAATAACAATAATAATAATAATAAATAATAATAATAATTAATTGCATACCTACCGTGTATCTTTAAAAATAAAATAAATAAATCAACACTTTTTTTTTCACTCATCCGTTTTTATTGTTAATTCCACGAAATCAAATTTTCCGAATTACACGTTAAAAACATAAAAAAAAATTTTTACTACAGAATATCTTGATTGTAAAAAAAAAAAAAAAATTAAAAACAACACAACACACACATTGAAAAATATCATTAATCAATTTTTTTTTTTTTTTTTTTTTACTTACCTCCGTAATAATTTCATAATTTTATGCTTACCTCTTTCTCTCTCTCTCTCTCTCATCATATCACACACGAATTACATTACCTTACCTTTTAAAAAAAAACAAAACAACAACAACAACAACAACAAACACACAAAATTCACGAGAGTATTTAAACGATTAGGAAAAAAAAACCCGCTTCGAACCGGCATTAAAACAAAAACAAAAACAAAAAATTTTAAAACACGTCAACATAATCATAATTCGATATTTATAAATAATAAACAATAAATGTAATTTCTAATTAATAATTAATAAAATCACAGTTATATAATTTATCATTATTATCATTGTTGTCATCGATACCTTACCATACTTACCCCCGCAAGCACGCACCCACCCACGCACTCACATTTTCTTCGACGACGACGATGAATCCCTCAACGAGTATTATCCTCTCATCAAATTATTGATTTCTAGGACAAAACTCGCTTTTGATGTGTATGTGAAAATAAATTTTAAACAATTAAATAAAAAAATGTCGGTTCTTCTTCTTCTTTTCATTTTAAACTTTTTCGTCTTCGTTTACCCCCCGATACGCGTGATTTTATGATGAAAAACGCCGCGAGAGAGGAGCACACGGTTGTGACCCCCTCCCCTTGCCAGCAGCACACCGTCGTTTAAAATTTATTAATATTATTATTATTATTATTTTTTTTCCCCACCCATCATTTGAGAGATGTTTTATTTATGATAACACGTTTAGAGGCTTTCACGTATGAAAATCGTTATAGAAAATGGAGTGAACCTCTTCTTTTTTATAAATAGAAAACGCAGCCTAATACAATCGAGTTCTAACCATATAAAAAAAAAAACCTCCCGAGAATATGATTAATTATAATAATAATAATAATAATAATAATGGTAAATACTTGGTTAGCATAAAACATCTAATTTTTAAAAAAAAATTTTAAATTATTGCAGAAAGTGTATGACGTCATAATTTAATTATTATTTATTTAAAAGCACTTGTTTACACGTGACCCAGATTATGGAGTTTTTACATTGTTGTTAATAAACACAACGCCTTTTCTAAAACTAAACACGTTTGCAAATTTTCTTTTCTTTTCTTTTTTTTGGGGGGGGGAGCAAGCGATACTAATAATAATAATAATTTAAAAACTTAATTTTCAAAATGCGGAAGAAAAAAGAAAGGGAAACATTATTATTATTATTATTATTCCAGTGAAACACCACATTGGCAGCATATTTACAATAAAAGCAATCGCGAATAAGAATTTATAAAATGAAGACAAAAATTTTCAAATTCGTATGAATAGTAAAAGAGTATTATTATTATTATTTAGGGGAGAAGGTGGAAGGGGAAGAAAAGAGAAACCTTTTTCTTTTTCTTTTGGGAATAAACTTATTTCGTACAATCAATCGTAGTTTGTAAAAAGCATGCCGGCCAATCGTTTGTTTCCCTTTTCCCCTCCCTTCCTTCCTCCCTCCCCCTCGCTTCCCTTTATTAACAACGATTATTATACCATATTAAACATTAAGGAAAAAAAAACCTCAACGCTATCATACACAAAACATCTCGAGACATTTTTTTTTTTTTTTTTTTTTTTTTTTTTTCGTGTCGAAATGCAAGAAGAAAACACGAAATTATAAATAAATAAATAAATAAAAATTTTCTTCATCACTTTCCTCCATTTTTTTTTTAAATTAATTAATAATAATCGATATTATCATGCAATTTATTATTTAATTATTATTTCCCAAGGTTTACAAACCTTTTTAGAGTAATTCAATTACCCCGCGTTATTGTTAAATTTAAAATAAATAAATAAATAAATAAAAATCCAATCACGCGAGTTAAGATTATAAAATAAAATAAAATAAAATAAATAAATAAATTTTTTTTTTAAATTAGCCAACACCAGTATTTTTTTTTTCTTGGGGGGGGGGGGCAAGGGACTAAAAATATTTTTCCGTTAAATGATCCATTTCGGGTTG